CAATATCTTGAAGTCATTTTCTCTAGAGTATTCTGTCAGCCAAACCAAGCGATGTTGCAATCTGACCAAAAAAGACACTTTTATTCTGCTCAGTGTACAGAAGAGAAAATGTATAGTACTGTGACATATGAGCATGAAGCAGGATCCTAACATTTTCAGGGAGAGGAGAGCATAAGCTTATTTCAGCTTTGGGTAAAGGAACAACACATTCAATATACTAAGCAGGCAGCTACTCTAATGAGTAAATGGCTAGAATCTGTTCAAGTATTTGTTATGCTCAGAAAGCTCTGAATTTTTGCTTTTGGCCTAGATTTCCAAGGCAATTTATAAATTTCTTGAGAGATTTAGTTGCAGTTGTTTATAGACTTCCTTTCCTTTTGTCCCTAATGCTCATAACCATATTTATTTTGTAATAACCCTCATTTTCAACACTTACCACCAAATATAGTTAGTCCATTTAAAAATTATATTCATTTTCATAGAACGAAAATCTGGCAACTTGATTCTGAAATCCTTTGATTTATAGTCTAAAAACAATTTCAAAAAAGAGCCTCTAAATTGAGGATTCTTATTTGAGGCAACCAGAATAATGTTGAAGCAGATGTACAATACACAGTTGTTGAAATATATTGGCTTAAATTCAGTTGGATCAGATGCTTCTGTTCCTATGATGCAACCTATCATCTCAGCCCACAAGCCTATACTGCTTACAGCTATTCTGAAAACTTGCTCATGTTCTTGGACAGTTCCCTGTGAGAGAAATTCCTTCCATTGGAAAGCGAGGTTTGCTCATTTTGGTAATCCAATCACCTTTCTCTTGGGTACTCTAATCAGCCACTCTTCAGTAGGTTTTTTTCTGGCCTGTCTTACTTGGCACGATATAACCCACAAAAAATAATGTTGATTTCTTGCATAGCTACACCTTTTGGCATACTGTAACTGTTCTTCACAGAAGACTTTTTCATCACTTGTAAATAGCCTGTCTCTATCTCATTCTATGTGAAAGGACAATTTGGCATAAGTATCAGAAAGTTTAAAAAGCAAGTATTAGAAACCTTGTGATTTTTCCCCCTGGCAGTTCTTCTTTTAACATGGTTCAGTTTTACTAACTTACGTCACTTAAATAGGTAGAGACATCATTATGAGTTATATCTCCAACATGTCTTCCATAGAAGTAACTTCTTGCATATTTTAAGTGTATGTTTTTCATTTTATTCATTTTTCATGGAGTAGTTTTAGACTTTTATTGATTTTTCTTTTCTTAGTACACACTGGCATTTCTTCTGGGTTCAAATCAATTTAAAATATTTCCTAATAAAACCATCTCACTCCACGATAAACACAGTGGGTGGAGACAAGTTTTAAACCGTCTTCCATTTCACTTTGAAACTTTCAATCTTGGTCACTGAAGTCCTTTACCGTGTCATGGGGTATAACAGGAAAAAGTATCTAAAATTTATGCCTGTGCTCATGCCTTTCTCACAAATTAATTTGTGTCTGTCATACAGATCAAAGATAGAAAGGACAATAGCTTCATAAATAAACTGGGGTGATTATTTTCAAGCATAGTCAGCTTAAATGTGGTTGATTAGACTCAAATGAAATAAAAGTAGTCATGTTCAGAGGAATATTAAAACCAAACAAACTACATTTTTACTCTTTAAAAACCTATGAATTAATCCAATGTTTTTCACTATTATTTCCACAAGTTCCCCCAAACTTTGGATCTATACTACCCCAGGGACAACGCATGTGGCCTTAACTTTGTGCATCTAACATGCTGTCATGAAATCATCCCGCGTCATCTAAATAAGTGCTGCCAATCAATTCTTCTGAAACTGCCCTTCGTCTACCCCCACCGTACCTGAAAGCCCGTAGGAGGAACAATCCAGATCTTTACCTGTACATGTTTTCCTCATTAGTCTTTAGCATATTCTAGGCCACAACAGTTTCATTTCATAACCACTTATTCATTTTATCTGAAGTTCATTTACATAAATATCTTGAATAGTCCAAAACCTAATAGTAGAAAATGTCCACAATCTCCATTTTCAAACAGCTGCCTTGCACTTCTTAGTACACGTCCCCTAGAAACCATTATGTCCCTGGTATTGTTTATATAATTAGCAATTGAAAGTCACATATTTAAGCGCAAACTTAGGTCTTCCATGAAAATGAGTCATCGTGGGGTTGCTTGTTATATTCTACAGAGAACAGCAAGAGCGCCTTCTCAAGGACCTTTCCTCTGTGACCTGATGTTAAGGAATAGTAAAGAGATTTCATCAAACACTGAGAACGTGCACACGTGTCTGTCTGTGTATCACACAGCTCTCATTCTATGCACAACAATCCCATCTCCAAGACTGAGATTTTCTTCCCTACCTAGATATATGGTTTGTAAAAGAATCTTGAAGAAATACTGAGATACTGTTTGGGAAAAAAAAATGGCCAAACACAGTCAAAACTTGCTGATTGGAAAACAGTGATAGAATTTTTCCTATTAGGTGCCATGAAAGCCCAAGGGAGACCTGGTCCAACCTCCCCTTCCCCTTCCACCTGAGTAGCCAGCAGCCAGGCGCTTCCTGTAAAGTGCATCAGGGCCCACCTTGCCCATGTGGGTGAGCACACACACAGAGGGTCCGCAGGACCCCACAGTCCAGCGCTGAGTCCTGGCTCCTTTCTTTGCAGCTGTGGTCAGTGGCAGAGGAGTAATGGCATACAGTAGGCAGAACTGCTCACTATCTTCTGAAGGAAATTAGTCCTCTTTCCCATAATTTTAAATGAACTATAATCTGCTTTAGTGAAGTTATCAAAGACTCAGTCCCGATGCCGCTGCTGGAGGCCCCTGAGCACATGTGGATGCACGCATGCATCAGGGCAATGGTGTGCTCCTTGGGGGTACGCTTCCCTTTTATCACGCTCATTTCATGAAACCAAGAAGGATATTCAGACCCAGGGGAATGTGTAACAGTATGATTCCATACTCAGTACCAATAGATCGTTTGGGATCTGATTTAAGCTTCCACGTCATGGCAGGATTTTTCATACTATTCACACATTTTCATAGCATACCTACTCTCTGAAAATGTCTGAACACTTCATAAAAGATGCTCTGAATGAAGATGGTAGACTGTGCAGTCCTAATGTTGGTGTAAAAATGGTTTTCAACAATATGAATCAGAATGATCCTTACTTCAAAAAATGACACCCTGATAAAAAGCACTATTAGTAAATGGTGTCATTGGAATTAGCTATTAGGAGTGATGGCTGAAAAAAAAAAAACTAAGGAATAATTGTTTCATCATAATATTAAGATTCATTGAGTTTCTAATAATCTTCCGTACTTATAAAGGAAATAATGATCTTCTCCCCAATCATATCTTAAAAACTCTATGCTTACTTGTGTAACTCTAGATATTTTACCTTCTTATTATTTTTCCTTCATAGTCTTTTGTTTAGTATTCTAAAAAGCACTTTGTTAAAGAAGTTAACTAATGCAAAAATTTACTCAGTATGATCATATTGAATCAAGACTTTCTTATTTATGTCACTTTTCTTAGTGTAAATATTCTGGAATGTCAGCCGCTTAGCTATTTCCCTCAGCTTTTAAACATAATAAAGTGCCTGGATTCTTTATTCTTTTTATTCTTGAGTGTTTCAGATCTCCTTTCTTTCATATCACAAAAGATAAATTCACAAGGCCACACTGACAGCATCACAGCTTTGAAAACGCGTCCACCCGTTACCTAATAAATAGCCCAGTCCCTTCCCTTCCCTTCCCTTCATCTTCCCTCGCCCGTCACGGTGATGTCAAGCTCCTAATTTCCAGAATGCACTTTCCTCAACTTTGACTCCCACAGCAAGAGTCCAAAAGTCGAGGCCTTTATTTAACATACACAGAAAAAGCTGGATGGCAAGCGGCGAGCATCGCCATTTAGGAATATGTGACAGTGTGCTGTGGTCTTGCTGAGAACCCACCCCTTCTCAAACGGGTGTGGCTGGACAGGGTTGGGTGCTTACCTGCCCTCTTCACATCTGTGGGTGTTTTCAATATTTCACTATGTTTACCCATATATATGACTTACGTAGTGCTGATGGCTCACTCTTAGATATCAAAAATCTTGTTTATTTGATTGTTTGCTTCATTTTTCCTAGCCAAGTTTTCTTTCTTTAATATTAAACCTCCACAGCTCATAGCTTTGAATTTATTAAAATTCAGACCTAATGCAAAAAGAACACAGATAATGCCCACACACCAGTCTTCCTGATGAGTTGAAAGTTTCTGATGCTTATTAAATCTCCCTTAAAGAAAATGGAATTTGGTATCAATGTAGGATCTAGGACCTGAGTTGAAAAGTCCTTCATTTGTCCTAAAGTTAACATAGGATGGTCAAATAAGGTAAAACAGGCACTAAGAATTTTATGTATGCTTTTTTTTCATTTTACCAATTCCTCTCTTTTAAAGGAAAATCAGAAATCAATATTTGTAGATTGCCATAGGTTGCATACAAGAAATTTGTTCCAACATGCAACACCATCGCTTCCTATTCTTCAACGTGTCTTTTTCTCTTATGAAATTTCTCCGCTGCAAAGCCGAAATGAGTTTACCATGCAGATTCTCTTTCTATAATAGCTGTTCCAACTAATAAACTCAATTTTTACTCTCCTGTCTCCCAATGTGGAATTCTACCTCAATCCTGATTCACTCTGAAGCATCAAAAGTCCAGATTAGAATTCACACATCTCTGCTCTAACTTGAGAAGTGTAAGTTAGATTTTTATAGGCTGACAGTCGCCAGTTTCTTCTGTCCACGACTGCATCATAACCACACAAACAGTTTGAAGCATTTGCATTTAAAACCTCCGTATCTCAAATTCCACCGTATCCCAAAAGTCCACCATAAAACCATCAGCACAATTCAACTTCCTTTTAACCAGTGGCCACAGAGCTGCACAGTCTCCATCAAGGAGGAAGAAAATGCAATCCTACCCCATACTCACAGGGCACTGTGCGGAGGTAGAGGTTGTCTCTGATGATTTGCTGAAGTTCGTGGTCCACAGAGCCCTTCTGGAATCGTAAGTTGAGGTAGTGACGAAGGTCCTTATCCACGATTCCTCCTGGAACAATAAAGTTTCTTAGTGAGAGATTTTGGAAAATACTTCCAGAATGTCCTTTGACTCTGTCACGAATATACTCATGAGCTCACTGGAAAGATATTTCAAATTGCCCATTTGACTTTCAGGAATATTTGTCATTTTAATAATAACATAACACAGATGACATTTCTGAAATAATAATTGCCTACCCTGTCCTTCATGCTCAGTGCTTTGCATGTATTCTTCAATTCACTCTTTGTTTTGAGTGAAAACTATGGCTAAAATATGGTGCTGAAATATAATATTGAAATAACAAAGTGTATCTCACTGCAGGGCTAAAAAGACTATTTACCTGTTTATTCATTTATGCGTTTGCAGTCCCCAGCCACTGCCTTCTGCTTTCTGTTTCTATGGATTTGATTACTCCGGGACCCATAGACAAATGGAATCACAGAATACCTGCCTTTTGTGACTGCTTATTTAGCATAATGCCTTCAAGGTTTTTACAGTCTAAAATATTAGTTTGAATTTAAATAAGTGGAGTTCTACAAAATTTTTTTAAAAAATAACTAGACAAATATTAATGTTTAGCCCTTTATACCATAAATCAAAGTAATTTCTTTGTCCTATATTTCCTGATATACTTAGCTAGAAACAAAGTTTGAAATATATATATTTCTTTTTCAAGCAAGAGAAATAATTTGGTTCTTTTTGCTGTTATAGCCTAATGAAAAACTGGGCCATAGATCAGAAAATCAATAGTGCAAATCTATCAAAGATTAAAGATGTTTACAGATAACAATGATCATTATGAATACTTAAGACCTTTCTATATGGAAAACTGAAATATAAATCTTATTCATAACTTCTAAGTTATGAATAAGATTTTCTGAAACTCTTATCTGTTCATTCAATCATATCAGGGTAACTGAGCCACAACGAAAAGTTAGAAGAAATAGGAAATCTCTAATAGTCACAGAATCATCTTCTCTTCAACTTCCTTTGAATTTCAGACCTCCCAAATGAATTTGCAACACTATGACCATGTAAAATAGCCTTATTTAGGCACACATATGCAATGCAAATACTGTTCAACAAACTGCAGTCATTATAATTACAGGTTACATAGTGCGACATTCTGAAGTCTTCTAATTCATCCTTTCTGTGGCTTCCTCGTCTGAGGCACAGTCAGAGCAATATGTCATAAAAACAAGACTTTTAATGAGTAAACTTTCAAAATTCTTACTCTCCAAATAACGTTTCCTCTGTATTTGAGCAAAATTCTGTTAAATTATTTTTCTACTCAGCCTAATATGGTAATGAAAAATAAATATATTAAAAGAAAATATATTCACTGGATGCACATACATATGAACACAAAATGCTTATCCATGTAATTTTCCAAATTTATAACCATATCCTTATTCTTTGAACTGAGCATTGTCATGCTGAGTTGTAGCAGCCACGTTCTGACTAGGAAGTGACAATCACAGGGAAAAAACCAACATCCCAGTGGGACTAGACAAGACTCTAGAAGCAGCCTTGGCCCCTAATGGCTTTACTAAGCAACTGAAAGTGACATGATCAACCACACATTTTGGGATTTTTTGTTATATGAGAAGACATTTGTTTTAGAAAATGCATAATTATTTCAAAGCTAATATTTTTGAGAAACTACATAGGATCTTAATCAATATAGATGTACATATTTGCATAAATGCAACTGTTATAAATGTTCTATAGTACTACCTAGGTGTATATATTATATATGCACATACACATAGAAAGACACATTTATCTTTGATTAGAAATTTCAATTGGCTAGGTATGTTGGACCATGCCTGTAATCTCAGCACTTGGGAGGCTGAGGCAGGAGAATAGTTACAAGTTTGAGACCAGCCTTGTCTCAAAAAGACAAAATAAATAAATAAAAAGAAAAGAAAAAAAAAAAGAAATTTCAATTCTTGGGAACTAAGCAATAGACATCACGACCTCATTTTCAGCTTACAATAAAGCATTTTGAAGAAAACTAAAAATTATAGATTTATACACGGTGTTGTGTTTTTTTAAACTGCTTTCTATCTTATTTGTCATGGTTATAATTTTTAGTATCATTTCTGTTCTATCATTTGTTAGTGATTCCCAAATAGGGTAGCTTAACAGGGTGCAGTAATCATTCTGTCAAGCACAGCATTCTCAACTCAAGGATCCCACTGCTGGTCACATTACTACACTGTACTGCTGATTGGAAGTTAGTTCTCCTCTCTTCAAAAAAAAAAAAAAAAAATCAGTGACCTTTATCATTATCTTTGAATAATACTGAATTATTTTACTTAACTGTATGAGAAAGCTTTATTAAAAAATACATCTACAAATGAAAATGTTAATTACCTGGTTCAATCACATTTTCAGGGAAAGAAAGAGGAGAAAGATTTGAAGCCTACAATTTTGCTTCCAAATACTTAAAGACCAAATTTCTTAATCAAAAGCAGTCCAGTTCTTTCTCAAGATAACTTCAATAAGGCTTTTCAACTTGACATCAAAGTCTAATTTAAGGACCCACGGGAGAGACCTTTGTTTAAACTCTATCTTGCAAATGAAGAGAATGAAGCTCACACTGTTAGCACCAGATCTGCAGCAGTTCAGGTGGGAATGAAGGAATCATCTAGAAGCAACACTTAAGGGCAAGTCGGGCGAAGGCTGAAGGTTGAGACCAGTGTCCACACTGCAGGTTCCCACAGTTCTTAGGACTGTCCCCTGTGGAACATGAATGCTTTATCTGCTCTTCTACTGGAAGTTTCAGATTACAGAAGGGAACAGAAAAGATGCAACTTGGCTCACATGGATAGAATTTCCCTGGTGTGCTGCTTTAAAGAGTGTGTTCCTCTCAGTCGTGCAGCTAAAGCCAGACACTTCCTAAATCTACAGGGAAACACCAGTGTCTTTGTTTGTGCCCAAGGGTCTGCTTGCAGAGTTGACACACTGCTCATGCAGGGCATAACCACGGCCTCCAAACTTCCCTCCCTGGAGTCAGCTGCTCCTGAGCACACATGTGCCTGAGACCTTGAGTTTAAAGCTCCCGAGGAGCAGTCAAGCCAAGCTCCTCCGATACCCTCATGACTTTCTTCTTCCTCCTGCTGGTCGCCTCAGTTCTCTTTCCATGTACACTGTCATTTGCTGTTTTTGTTCGTTTCTTCCTTACCTTTTGCATCTAATTTTGAACTTTCACGCTGCCTTCCTGTAATAACCACGACCTAATTTTCTTTTTGAATGGTCCATACCACCTGCAGTTTTTAGGGGTGCGGTAAGGTTTTGAGCCAAGCTCCCCTTCCCTTACACAATTAAAATTTCTCTTTCAGGGGGTCGCTTTGTAAGTATGGCAACCAAAGCATGTGGATTCAAGCGTGACCATCTTGCAAAGGGCATCCCACAAAGATTACCCATCATTCTGCTTCAATTCATACAGAATTCCCTTTTTTATTTTTCTGACCAGTGTCTCCAACTTTCCCTTTGCGCAGTACAGTTAATGACACTTAGTACTGACTGTCTCTTCCTTTTGATGCTACTTACGGATTTCTCATCTATCTGTCAGCTGAACATCATCTTCCACTTGGCCCTCCTCACCATCTTTAGGGAACAAGTCTGCTCCCTCCTTTGAGCTTCCATCTTGTCCCCCCTAAGCCCTATTCCATGTCCTAACAGCCCCCACTGTCTTCTGTGATTCAGCTTTATGTTTTCATTGAAACTCTAAGCTCCCCTGACAGACCATTTCCTGTTTGTTTCCTATCTTCTCCTTTCTTTCCATCTCAATCTCTAAAATAGTATCTTTACAATAAGCAAGGCCTTGGGATGTGTTCCGGATAAATAAACTACAGTAGACTACTGCAGTAGACAGAACACTAGATTTTGTATCTGAGTGCTGTTTTAGCTACCACACCAATATTAATTCATTGCTGTTCTTGGACAGCTCATTTCTGGATCTAGTTTTACTCATCTGTAAAAGAGAGGTACTTGAGGTCCAGCTGCTACAACTAAGCACCACAAACTGGATGGCTTAAGCAACACACATTTTTTTTTTGCTTGTATTTCTGAAGACTGGGAATTCAAATCAAACCATTAGCAGATTTAGGGCCTGGTGAGAGTCCTCCTCTTGGTTTACAGAGTGCCAGCTTTCCTTACATCTTAAGTGGCCAACAGATAAACCATTTCTCTGTTTTCTTTTAAGGAGAGTGTTATTTATGAGGATTTCACTCTCATAATTTATTACATCTTAAAAAAAAACTCATCTTCTAACATAATCAAGTGGGAGCACATATTTCAGGTGGGAGCACATATTTCAGTATATGGATTTTGGGAGACAAACATATTCAGTCCATAACAGTCAGTGTAGGATCAGAGAAAGCCCCCTCTAAATTAAAATTCTAGGTTTTCATATAAAGTGATCACTGAATACATTTCATAGGGGATTTTTTGGTTAGCAGATGAATCGATTATTTTATTAGTTATAGAAATTTAGGTATAGTCCCTAAAAACAGAAAACTGTGCATACTGTTTTCTGATACTGTTTCCTATTTTGTGAATTTTCAACTTACTGTTGAGATCATCAGCAGGAAACTGATTAGAGGGACTGTCTTTGTCAAGCAGTAAAACAGCCAAGCAAAACCGTCTGCAAGAAATTAGAAGAGCAGGAAGATCTACCCAAATGTCCTCAGATATTCCCATGGGCAACTGCAAACGTAGCTTATGTTAATTTATTGGATGGTGTGGAAGACAAGCGACAGACAATAGGAAAGCTTTACGGAGCTCTCTTGCTAAGTTCCTTTTTCAGAAATAGTTTCTGCTCGGCTTCTCTCAAAAAATGGAGAAATAAATCACAGAAAAGTTGATTGATTCTGTTAAGATCTACAGCCACAAAGGAGGTGACAGACATATCTAATCTCGTCTGCAGAAGTACGCTCGAGCTCCTTTTCTTAGGTGGAAAATTGTCTTTGGTTTCTTGAAATCTAGAGGCCCAACTCATT